TCTTTCATTAGTGGAGAAAGTTTTAGATTTTTGAGCTCCAGTAAGATATGCGCAAGCAGGTGTTTCTTTGTACTTTCGCATTGCTTCAGGATCCATTTGCTCAGAAAGAATTTCTTGAGCCGGTTGCTATGTTAAAAATGTATGTTTTTTTAATGTATATTAAGTGTTTTTTTAATGCAAACAAAAATATCGATAAATAATAATTTAATAGCACATACCTGGCTATGCAAATGGTGATGTGTAGGATGCAAGTGCGACATCAGTTGAGTGGGCATTAAAATACTATTCGTATTATTACCGATTACATTTGTTTGCTGTTGTGAATGAGGTTGTTGGTGAGATTGTTGTGGTTGCGTTTGTGGCTGCTGGGATTGTTGTATCTTATATAAAAAAATATATATATATCCATTTAAGAAAAACTCTATGTGTTGCATTGATATCATATTGAATGACATTAGAAGTGAGAAATTACAGTATTATTTTTGAAAAAATGAATTATTAAAATTGCTTTTTTCATATGCTGTCACACATACACTTGTATTCAATAGTATAAATTAATAAAATAAGACCCACTTTTTGAGATTCGTGGATTAATAAAGAACTATATAATTAAAATTTAAAATTCAATCAATTGTTAGAATTTATTTTTGCTAAAAACGCAAAATACATGCAAATAAAAATCATATGTACATTTACTAATGCAAAATGACGAAAAAATCCATTAGCCGTTGCTCGTTTTTGACATATTTTGCCATCCATACTATTAAAACAAATAAATAACGGTATATTTTCGCGAATACATCGACTAGCAGCAGGCATACACCAACACACAGGACATACATATATGCATATAAGAAAACGTATATACGTACGTAGACAATGCCACGAAACACAAAAAGCGGCGAGTGCAGAGAGATCGGTATATACGAGAGAGTTAACTAATAAGCTTGACAGGTTGACTCGCGCGACAGACACGGGCTAACCATTTAAGAAACACTCTATGTGTTGCATTGATATCATATTGAATGACATTAGAAGTGAGAAATTACATGTATTATTTTTGAAAAAATGAATTATTAAAATTGCTTTTTTCATATGCTGTCACACATACACTTGTATTCAATAGTATAAATTAATAAAATAAGACCCACTTTTTAAAATTCGTGGATTAATAAATAACTGTATAATTAAAATCAAAAATTCAATCAATTGTTAGAATTTCTTTTTTGCTAAAAATGCAAAATACATGCAGATAAAAATCATATGTACATTTACTAATGCAAAATAATGAAAAAATCCATTAGTCGTTGCTCGTTTTTGGCATATTTTGCCATCCATACTATCAAAACAAATAAATAATGGTATATTTTAAAAAACTAATTTATTTCGACATACGCAAGAAAAAAGTTTATATGATTTCTCGCATCTAATGTCATAATTCAATGAGGAAACAAAAATTTTAAATCAAGTTATATAATGCACACTTAAAAATTTATCAAGAAACAAGATATAAAGCTAAGAATAAAAATCACCTGCACTTGATCCAGCTGGAGTTGCAATTGTTGATTGAGTTGCTGCAACTGTTGGACTTGTTGCACTCGATAAGAAAGGCGACGTGGCTTTTTTTTTTCATATGCTGTCACACATACACTTGTATTCAATAGTATAAATTAATAAAATAAGACCCATTTTTTGAAATTCGTGGATTAATAAATAACTGTATAATTAAAATCTAAAATTCAATCAATTGTTAGAATTTCTTTTTTGCTAAAAATGCAAAATACATGCAGATAAAAATCATATGTACATTTACTAATGCAAAATAATGAAAAAATCCATTAGTCGTTGCTCGTTTTTGGCATATTTTGCCATCCATACTATCAAAACAAATAAATAATGGTATATTTTAAAAAACTAATTTATTTCGACATACGCAAGAAAAAAGTTTATATGATTTCTCGCATCTAATGTCATAATTCAATGAGGAAACAAAAATTTTAAATCAAGTTATATAATGCACACTTAAAAATTTATCAAGAAACAAGATATAAAGCTAAGAATAAAAATCACCTGCACTTGATCCAGCTGGAGTTGCAATTGTTGATTGAGTTGCTGCAACTGTTGGACTTGTTGCACTTGATAAGAAGGATGCTGTCGTTGTTTTTGCTGATACTGCTGTTGAAGCCCGGCCATTATGGTGGCCTGTGTCTGCTGCAGTTTCGCCATTCCCATGCCGGATGTGGCTTTTCGTATGTTCTTCCCTTCTTTCTTGGACACAGGCTTGGCCTTTGGACGATCGCTTATAGCAGTATTTTGACTAACGTCACTGCTTGCAGTAATAGGCGATTGAGAAACAGCTATGATGGTCGGAGAAGTAGAAATGCTAGGCGGACTCGGCGTGGTTGTCGAGGAAGTGGTGATCAATGGCATAGTAGCGGTCGTAGCAGGCAGCGACGCAAGAGACAATGGAGGCGAGGAAGGAAAAGTATCTGTAGGGAACGTTTCCATTGCGGTAGGGGCTACAGACATCTTCGGATAGTGTGCACCTTGCATTCCCATTAGCTTACTATCAATGTAAGCACTGCACACCAATGCTGCATCGCTAGTTCCTTGGTACGTCAACGAATTGCCGGTCATACCGGTTGTACTGCAAACTAAGCCTTTTAAGAAAAATGATAATGTTGAAAATATTTGCATGAACATCTCTAATAAAGAATAAAGTTAAAAAAGTACCATGAGATGTCGATTGACTTGGTAAGTCAATATTTAACATGGCTGGTAGTAATGTCTCAGTCTCGCTAGGATCTTGTTGCTGGGATTGATTTACAATGGAACTTCGCGGACCCGTAAATAAATGTCCTGCACCCTTAATTTGCAATTCTCGCTCTACCCTCTGCAGATTAATCACATAATTAAAAAAAAAAAAAAAGAATGATAAAATATAAAATATATTATATCACATTCTCTCGAAGTATTCTTTTTCTTTTTGCATTGTAATCTAAGAATTCATAAAGTTTTTGTGTGTATATTAAAGAATTTTATCGAGAGAATATGCAATAGTATATAGAACATACTTGTAATTCTTCAAGTATTTGTTGTTTATGAAGGATTTGCTCTTGTCTAGTATTTTTCTGACTTTCGGTGACATTTACTCCTTGTGTCGACGCTGTTGGTGTCGGACTAAGACTAATATTAGGTTCTGACAAACTCGTGAACCCTCCACTGCCTTTATCGAGAATATTAGTATCGTCCTTGGTAATAGCGGCCGGTTCTCCTGCAGGCTGCGAACGAACCTGTTGCGCTTCGGCAGAAGTAAGGCTTATATCGGGCATCATAGTCACTGATCGATTCTTTCTCAATAATGACTTTTGTGTATTATGTTTGAGTTGAAGATTTTGCGTTTGTTGCTCAGTGGTCTGTTGTTGTTGTTGATGTTGCGGTTGCGTAGATGTTTGCTGAGGATGAGGTACATGTTGTTGGTGACTTATATGCTGTTGCTGTTGCTGCTGCTGCTGTTGTTGTTGTTGTTGTGGTAATAACATAGGCGCAGAAGCAGCACTGTGGGGAGCACTCATCATAATGCTATGAGGATAGTCCAACAAAAGTTGAACAACAGCAGTGTGACCACCTTTTGCCGCTTCTATCAGCATGGTGGAGTTATCCTATAATACATTAGATTACATATTAATGAAAGTTATATACAAAATATTGATACTTCATCAATGTTGTATAAAATAGATTGAAAGATTAGTACAATATATTATTAATAATGTGTCAATCCTAATGATATTACATTAATCTTTTGTAAGCATATATTCGAGTATGTATATAATAGAGAAAAAATATAGATTTAATATAGATATAATAGATGTATATAATAGATTAAAAATAGATTAAAAATATAGATTTTTACTTAAATATTTCAAATACAACATACCTTCAATTTATGAAATGGATTTGCAGATTGTGCTAGAAGCAGTTCAACTACTGCAAGATGACCACCAGCGCATGCCAATGAAAGAGGAGTATGATCATTATTTGTTGTTTGTCGATTGACCTCAGCACGCTTCGAAATGAGGAATTGAACTGTGCACAGATGACCTGCTCTACAAGCCTTCATTAGTGGGGTTCTACCTCCCTCTGATTCATGCTCCTATAATACAAAATAAATTAATATAGATCATTTCAATATAAAGACAAAAAAACTACAACTTAAAAGTATATTAAAAAAAAAAAAAATTTGCATACTAGATCAGCGCCAAATTGCAGTAACAGATCAGCAACGTCAGTATGACCATTCTCGCAAGCGTATGTCAAAGCTGTATCCCCCGTTTGCGTCTGAGCATGAACATCCGCTGCAGATTCCAATAAATATCGCACAAGATCTAAGTGTCCCTCTTGTGCGGCCTCCATCAAAGGTGTCGACGCACCCAATTCTATATCTGCCCCCGCCTTAATTAAAAAATCGGCAACTTCCAGAAAACCGCCGCAACAAGCCAGGGTAAGCGCCGTTTCTTGAGTTTCCTCAGTTTGAGCGTTGATGTTTGCACCTATTTATTAATTTTATAGTTATATCCAATGATATTTATTTATCATTTAATTTGATATTTATTTATATTTACCATTTAACATACCTTGACTCAAAAGTAAAGCGACCATTTCTTCATGACCTTCACGCGCTGCTTCCATTAACGGAGTATAACCTTCATCATTAACTTCTTCGATGTTTGCTCCACGCTCGATCAGAAGCATAGCCAAGTCTACGTGACCTCCACAAGCAGCTAATGTTAATGGTGATTCAAAGCTGTCTGTCGGCATATTTACTTGAGCACCTGAATCTAAAAGTAAACGTGCAACTTCCACGTGACCATCCATCGAGGCTTCCATGAGGGCCGTGTGCATCTCATCAGTCTTATGCTCCTGAAAAATTCGCGGAAGTACTACTATTTAATTTAAATAATTAAACAAGTAAAATAGATTGTGTATGTAAGGGAGATGATATGAGTCTAGACATACTCATAGCAATTATCCATAGGACTGCATTCGAAAACACCACCCGTGTGCACACGAGCGTCGTTCTATCTTTGTTATTTACTGAAAGTTGAACAAAGATAGAACGATGCTCGTGTGCACACGGGTGATGTTTTCGAACGCGGTCTAGTAGAAGCACTAAAGTATCTATAGGCATTTTACATATTTTTCAGCCTAATAAATAATTACTGGAAAACGACATTTATATACTAAAAAAATATGTGAGGTGCGAGTGACTGAATTGGGAATCAAATCCGAATTTTTTGTTTTTTGGGCAACTGCTCTTATTATTGAGCTACTTCAGACCTCACATCTTATGCCACTTTTAATACAGAAATATAATATATGACTCCAAAGATATTATGATCCTAGTCTTTTGTCAGTTGGTAGCTGGACTATAGATGTTAGGCAAGCAAATCTTGCTTGCCACACCCCACAAGACCCTTCTAAAGAATACAACAATTCCCCATCATTTCCTGAACAAGATTAGTACTCTTTGGAATTAATAAATAACATTAAATTGTTGTAAATGAATTTTTATCACAACGATTTTAACTCGCGCGCGCGCGTATAGTCTTTCTAAATAATTCTCTAATAGAAGATACATATGTGTGTATAAAAAATTTCTTTTTTTGCTTAGGAACTCCTTATTTAATCATTTATTTAATCATTGGTTAACGATTAGGTTAATGGATCCAAAAACGATTAAATTTTAGAAATCTGTTTTTGGAAAACAGATCTGTAGTAGAAAACAAAGAAAATAAATCTTAGGTACACTTAGTACACTTTGCACTCTTAGTTGACACAATAAATACTATTTGAAACGCGGTTTTAATCAATGCTCACAAATATCTAAATGCTTTTCTCTTTCAATAAGCATGAATCTATTTATCTGATTAAGCAATCAGAACAAAGACTTTTTTATCATGATTGCTCAATCAAACGCCTTGAGGCATTTGAAAATGCCAGTATAAATGCAGTATCAACTCAATCTCTATAATGTATCCCTAGAAATATAGCCAATACAAACAATCCTCATTCTGATGTTAATGCTAAAGCCCATATGCATTGAAAATTAAAGATTAAAGATCTAAATTTGACTAATCAGAACAAAAGAAACTAAAATTCCTTTGTCTTGATTGGTCAAACTTCAATCTTGAGACTTCAATCTCAATCTTCAATGTACAATCTGATACAGGCTGAAGGCATGGATAGAAAAGTTACTTTTTTTTTATGGTTTTTGGAACACGAAAAAGTTGCAAGGATTATTTTATGATTCGTGTGTCCTCCAAAATTTGTAAACAATCTTTCATAACACAGTATTTTGTCCACAAAAAGAAACAATCCACAAAAAGGAACAAACTTTCTATTAATATACAATCGTCGTTTTTCTGAACATGGTTATTTTATTACAGCTACAGAAAAATAAAACAATTATTAGTACCTGATCTGCGCCAGCTTCCAATAAGAAGCGAACCATTTCTAAATGTCCTTTATAGCAGGCTAACGTTAATGCCGATTCTTTAAATTCATTGGAATGAGTATTGATGCCAGCACCGTGTTCAAGTAAGATCTTGGCAACTTGAACATGACCAGCACTCGCTGCTTCCATTAAGGGTGTATGACCATTCTCATTATGATCTTCAACATTAGCTCCCGCTTCTAATAAGACACGTACAACCTCTTCATGTCCACCGGCGCATCCATACATAAGAGGTGTATTACCTTCAATTACAAATACAAATACTTTGTAACAATATTATCCTCGACAAATTCGTAACTTCGATAATATTTGCAAATAGAAATTTAGCGAAGTAATTTAAAAAAATCATATATAATAAAAAATAAACAACTAATGCTAGTAATTTTACCTGAAGTAGACTGAGCGTTGACATCTGCTCCGTGAGCGATCAACAGACTCACGATATCTACGTGTCCTGCACTGGCGGCTTCCATTAAGGGGGTACAGTCCCCTTTGATACCACGATCTTCTACATTAGCATTCATCGCCAAGAGCACCTATTTTATAAAAACATGCAATAGATGAATTTTTCATTTATTCTTGCAAATGAATTATAAATGAATCTTACTTTATAATTGTACGAATTGTTTATTGCAAAATTTATCAAGAAAGATTATTTCATATATCATGACTCATGTTTAATGGTATAAATTGTGATAAAATATACCAAAGACTCAAGAGGTTTATGAATTAATAAATAATTGTAAATCCTAAATATAAAATCCATTTTTACTGTAGGGTACATGTAGATTGAGTTATATATGCATTTATTGATGTAAAATAATAAAAAAGTTTTTAGTCCATTTGATCAATCCATATTAAAATACAAATTGTAACATTTAAAAAACTAATTTATTTCGTTGTATTTCAAAAGAGGAAAAAAATTCTCACGTTTAAAGTCATAATATAGCTGCAATGAAGAAATAGTGCAGCCTTAATTAAAGTAATTAAAAAGTTTTAGCTAATTAAAATTTATTTACAAGTTTTATATAGCCTGTAGCCTATAACACAAAAATATAACTGCAGACTAGAAAGAAATAAATATATTATAAATATAGCTTTTAAATGTATAAGTCTTATAAAGACAAACTATATTTACTTTCAAAATAAAAAGCAGTAGCTATATAAAACAGGGTGTCTACTTAAATCTTGTAAAAAAAATCCCTGATCTTTTAAGTATTTTTATTCAAAATTCCAGGTAAAGAAAAGATTTTAAAGATTTTATTATGCAGTTTTCTAAAATAAGTTTTTTTAGTGCATGTGTTTTTTAATGCTTTTTATTCATACGAAAAAGAAACAGAACCATTTAAGTCTTAAATGCTAGTATAGCAAATGTACTGGAAAAAAAACTTAATAGCTTTTGTAAAATGAACATTTTTGCATAACTACATTTTCATTTTTTTGCCATTAAAAATATTACTTAATAAAAAAATATATACTGTCTATTCAATATTTTGTTAAAACATGGAATATATATAAATAGAGAAATAGATATATATTTATAATATATTTTAAACACACATAATTCACAACTTGGCTTATCGACGAATTGCCGATAAGTTTACAATATAAGAAAAAATTATCAAAAATAAAATTTTTTTTTAATATTCCCCGATTCTCAATAAAATTCTATTAGAATTCCATGAAGATCCCCTGATTTTTCCCAGATATAAAGAAATTCCTGAAAATTCGAGGTTTTCCATGTTTTTTCAGAAAGTAGACACCCTGTATATGTATAATTATTAAACAATGATATTCTTGCAATATCTAACCTATAACATAGTAATACACATATGAAATAAGACAATTTAAAACTATTGAATAAAATATTAAGTTTAATTATATTATTTATATTTCCCTACTGATTTTTTGTGTAATATGAGAATTACTGTGCCAATGTGATATTACAGCCATTCAAATTAACTGTTAATATGAATTATATGGTCAACTACTTGCACGAATACATTAAATAGAATACTATACGTACATACATATATATATATATATATATATATATATATATATATATATATATAATATAAAAATTTAGAATCTTGTCTCAAGTCTTTTATGCGAATATAATTCTAAAGGTTTCTAATCTCTTTATCACCTAC